CCTATTGTTCTTATTTTTTATAAATATGAATGATACAGAAAATGAAGTTGATCATGAGCATGAAGAAATCTTACCTCTTCCTTCTCCTTCTTCATCAAAATCCAATATTTGGAAATTTTTTTCGAAAGAAAAAAAATAACAAAATTATCGCAAAATGTAATACTTGTAGGAATGTAATTTACTCAGTTAATGGTGATGCAACTTTAAACCTTTGGGCTTACGTGAAAAAAGTGCATAAGTCTCTAATTGGTATACCAATTAATCAATACACAATCAAATAATGTTTGAATACAACTAATGGAATAAGTAAATCATATATTAACATTTTATCTTTAATGCAAATAAATATATCATATATATAATAATTAATTATAATTTTATTATTAGCTAATTATAGAAAGTAGTTTACGAAAATCTTTATGAGAATGGATTATCCTTGAAGATCATCCATTTTTAATTATTAAAGGAAAAATAAAAAATGTGTTGAAAAAGGCTACCGGATTTACAATTGTATCCTCTGATACAATAAAGAGAGATATAATACAGAGTTTATTGAATTTCAAAGTCATATCCAAAAATATATAGCAGAAACTCCAGGAAAAGTATCATTTTCTTTAGACCTTTGGACTTCTATAGTAGTTAAAGCGTATATAGGTATTACAATTCACTTCATCGATAAATCATAGAATCTTCGAGAGCTTACACTTGACTTTAATGAGTTAGAAGGCATTTATTCTAGTAAATACATAGCTGAAAAGTTGATCAATATATTAGATACATATAAGATTTCTACAAAGATTTGATTAACTATTAACTTACGTTTGTTTTGATTTTGTATTATAAATAGTAATTATACATATAATTAATTTTATAGATTAATTGCATTACAATTGATAATGCTCATAATAATGACACGACATTTATACAGCTTGGCTTATGGGCATTAGAAAATGATATTACTTTTTCGGTTAAAAATAATCACATTTGATGTTTTGCTTATATTTTGAACTTTGTGATTCAATATGCTTTAAAAGAACTTAAATGTAAAATAGATCAAATCAGAAATATTATTATTAAATGTCGTTCTTCTTCCTAACGACGACAAAAATTCAAAGAAATTTCAAATCTTAATAGTATTAAAAATCTGTTTTCAATTTTAAACATTTTAACTCGTTAGAATTCTACGTATGAAATGATTAAACGCGCTTTAGATTTGAAAGTGATTAGTACTTTAGTTAAAATTTAAATTATTAAAGATTTATATATAATTAATTAAAGATTTTATATAATTAGGTTTTTGATAAGATCATTTTAACTAATGAATTTTTATTCATCAGAGATATTAGTTTTATTCAATTAGATTGGAAATCTCTTGAAGAATTGTAATTTTTTTAAAGCAATTTGCAAGGATTTTAACTGAAATGTGTGCATCGACTTATCCTGCCATAAGTTTAGTTTACTTTATGTATAATCATTTAATGGACTATGCTGAAAAAATAATGAAGGATGGAAAATCTTCAAAATCCTTAGTTGCAGCTACAAAGGTAGTATGGAATAAGCTTAGTGAATATTATAATAAAACTTCTGAATCAGTACATTACATTTCTACGATTATTAATTCACAATGAAAGCTTAAATATTTTTGAAGCTGGATAGAAAATGATGATGATATATTTTATAGAAAAGCAAAAAATTTGTAAGTAAATTAATTTTTACTATAAAAATTGGATAAATTATAAATATTAAAAAAATTTTTATTATTAAAATTAGATTTGTAAGTAAATTTGATGAGTATCGTTCTATTTACTTTCCAATTTCGATACCTGCTGTTTTTGATGATAATAAGGATAGCAATGATGAAGGTTCTTTATTTCCTATTACTAAACGCTTTTAAAATAATAATAGACATGACGAACTATTTAATTATCTTGATAGTTCACCAGAATTAAGAACTATAAATGTATTGGAATGGTGAAAAGATCACGAAATTAATTATCCAACATTATCTATGATAGTGCATGATTATTTATTAATACCATCTACTAGTACGCCTGTAGAATGATTATTTAGTCAAAGTAGCAATGTAATTACACTAGAACGTAATAGACTTGAAAGTGATACAATTCATGTGATAATGTATCTTAAAAGTTGGCTAAAGTCTGATATGTTTTAATTTTTTTTTATGTATAAATTTTTTGTATAATTTGAGAAATAATAATGGTTAATAAT